CCTCATTAACATTATAGAGGCAGGGTTTATAACATATAGGAAAATCACACAATACCAGGAATCATGGCCCAGCCAAAGTGATACACACATTTTTTGGGTGACATAATTCAATCCATGACAGGCTGAAATTCATGTTCCAGTTGAGACCAAGTCACAGAGGATGTGCCACCAGATCCTGCACACACTTGTGGGTTAGAGTAAGGAAATCGGGTTCTATTTTATGTGCAAAGGAAAGTTGCTGAAGGATTTTAAGCAGAGAAATGACATATTTCGATATATGTTATAAAAAGTTCCCTCATTTCCTTGTTTTTCTTTATAGTTTTACCATCTGTGTATATATCTCTAAACAACACACTTTTATTTTTTAACTTATATGAATGGAATCATGGTCTATGAATTTTTTAGTGTCTTGCTGCCTTTGTTCAACATTACATTTGTGAGGAAAAAAAGGGGGGGGATTAACCCTACATGTCAGGATAATGGTTACCTTTATCAGGAAAGGAGAGGGTAATAATTGATAAGGGTTACACAGGAAATTTTGGGAACCAGAAAAGACTTATTTCTTAACCTGAATAGTGGTTGCACCAATACTTGCTTCATAATTAAGTACTAAATAGTACAGATAGGTATATATATTTTCTGACTGTGTATTTAAATAAAAATTCTAAAAGAAACTCTCTCTCAGCACTGCAGTAAGTTTTCCCACCAAAGTCCTTTAAACGTGAAGTTAAAATCAGTTTCCCAGGAGAGACTAATTATCCTTCCTCTCACAGTGGGCTTACCAGAGAAGTGAGGAAGAAAGGCAGACAAAGGAAGAAGGGTTCTTACTGTGTGGCAGATGTGCACAAAGTTAGGTGGGCTGTGGGAGACACAGCAGTAATGATACACGGTGATGAGCATGCTGGAAAGTCGGCAGAACTTGGTCTCAGCCTTAACTTGGTCACTAGCCAGCTTAGTGACCTAAGCAAGTCCCACCTGCTCTTTGAGCTCAGTTCTAGCTTCTGTGAATGGAGAGGTGATCTATCACATTGCTTGGCACATGTTAGCTAATCTATATATATAAATATTTGTCTCTCTCTCTCTCTCTATATATATATATATGTATTTGTCTGTTTGGATACCTTGATTCTAGAAAAACTTAGCTCTAAACCTACCCCCAGCTTCTCCAGCCTCCAGGTTCTTTAAATCTGCAGTCTAGACTGGAATACCTCATTCGCATAGTGTTTTGTTCCTATCCCAAGCATAGCACTTATCATGGTCTGGCCTGGGAGTCAACTGTGTACCCACCAGTAAAACCCCAAGCACCCAGCATAGCCGTGTGCTCATGCTCAGCACATGGTTTTAAATGCAACCCGTTGCTGTCAAGTTGATTCTGACTCATAGCGACCCTATAGGATAGAGTAGGACTGCCCCATAGGGTTTCCAAAGCTGTCGTCTTTACGGAAGCGGACTGCCACATCTTTCTCCTGCAGAGCGGCTGGTGTGTTTGGTAGGTTCGAACTGCTGATAATTTGGTTAGCAGCCAAGTGCTTAAGCATTGTACTACCATTGCGCATCTTTTGTAATGGAAGGGCCTTCTTTTATAAGAGTAAAGATTCCACGAGATGAGTTAAACTGAAATAAGAGTCAAAATTTTTGACATATTCTTATTCTCATAGGTAGACTCAACATACTTTAGAATCAGAACTAGGTTCAAGTCTATCCTAGATCTGTCCTTTGGTAGCTGCGCAGTCTTGGGCCCATTCACCTCCCTGAGTTTATATTTCCTCAGCTATATGACATCAACCCCCTCCTGGGAGCTTTGTGATGGAGTACAGCACAGTACCAGGCACATGGTGGCCCTCAGCTCACATTAGTCTCCTTCTTGACATACTTCCTCACGGGTCTCCTGAAATTAAATCCAGAGTTACAAGTGGAACAGACCAAACATCTCGATTGTCAGATCATTTTCATCATCAGCATCATGAGGATGAACCGAGATATTTACACCTTGGGGTGGGGTGCACAGAGAGGATGAGTACCTCAAAAAAAGATGATATACCTTTCCTTTCAGAAGGTGACAATCCCATGCTTCTTTGGTAGCTCTGGGCTGAGAAGTAACAGTGTTCTTTTTTTAAAAATATTTTTTTTCCTGACCAAGTGGCTGCATTCTGTCAGGCAGAGCAGCTGATGACAGCTAGGCTAGGAAAAGAGGGGAATTATGCAGACACTTGGCAGTATAAATGTTAGAACAACTCGCCTATATGTGTGTTCAGGAGAGTTCAGTAGCTTAGGTGAATGCAACTCCAAGAAATAAAATGACAGCTTCCCTTAGCCATTATGTTAATGACAGGGTGTTGCGTGGCGGGGGGGGTGACTCTGTTAGGCAGGCGCTTGGGAGACAAGACTTCTGGGCTCAGATCCCACTCCCAACAACATCTCCCACTGTGATCTCGGGCAAGTTGCTGAACTTCACTGTACTTCAGTTCTATTTCTCCATCTACAAACCCAAGCTAATAATAGTTACCTTCGCTGCAGGGGTGGTACAAAGATTAATGAGTTAATGAGCAGAATGTGCTGTGGAGAGTAGGCAGACTGTAGAAATGTGATCATTTCCACAAATCTCTGATTTGCATGTTGCCTGCCATAGTAGCTTTTCTGAATTTTTTTTTCGTTCCCGTTTTTTCTTCAATAATGAACCCTTAAGTCCCATTTCTGCTCCTGCAACATAGGGATGCTCTTGTCCAGGAAGTGATGAGCTCTTTCATGTCCCCCAAGCCAGGGTGCAGTGCTGAAATGGCAAGGAGAGAGTGTCTGAGTCCCAGAATGATGGAAATAGGAGAAAGATATGACAGATGAAAGAGCCTTACCTCTAAAATAAACAAATAGTTTAACCGCTTTCACAATTTTGCAGTTCTGTCTGAGAGGAGTAAAGAGTGATGAGTGGGAATTCTTTACAAAATGAGCGTCACAATGCAGAGAATATGAAATAAATTAAATCTTATTTTCAGACTTATTCATGATATATCTAATCAAGAAGCAGCATATTGTTATATATATACTAAGGTGTGGGATAAGACAGTTCCACTACTACAGTGCTTTCTCTGCCTTCCTGTCCCCTAGAAGAGGTCAGAGTTAAAAAAAAGAAAAGCAAGACAGCTAGCAATCATGTGCAGATAAAAACACTGGACATTCTAATCCAATCTTAAGTTTGGAAAACAAAAATAAAGCCAAATAACCAACAAATACAAATCCAGTTTTCATGCTATAGTGTGGAAAATTCTATAAACGGTCAGGAAATGAAAATGAATTAATTGCATTACAGATATGATCCCATTCATTGGTCTTCAGCATAGAAAGTAAATTTATGATTCTAGTTTTTAATCACAGAGAGACTAAGGCTCAAAGATATTAAAGATCTTGCTCAGGGTCAGTCACAAAGCTAACAGCCCTGAGCTGGGTTTGAACCCAAGTTGCAGTCATGTCAATGTCCATAATGTTTCTACTGCTTTTCAGCAAAATTCTGGAATGCACAAGGCATGTAGCCCAGAAAAAAAGAACTATATGGTACGTTCTATCGTGTCTAAAGGCCAGGATGCAAATCCATGCAAGCATCCATCTATTCATGTAACCATCCTCCCACTGATTGACAAGTGCCACCAATGTACCATGACCAGTGCTAGACCACAGAGTTGAGCCACCGTAAGGAATAAGCTCTTTACCTGGGTCTAGCAGGCAAGTTTCAGAATAGCAAATGTCTCAGAGCCAGCAAGAGCCGACTGAAACCAGCAGAATTGGGCTCTGACCCTAGAGTACTGGCTGCTTGCCCTTTGCTGGGTGCAGTATACCTGGAACCCCACACTTTACTGTAATCCCGGCTAGTGGAGAATTGCAGTTAAACCCACTCCCATCTGAGGTAGAGATGTCAAGATAACATTGGGGAAATGGGGTGAAACATTACTCTCTGAGTCTCCGTTACTATTTCTTATCGAGAACTTGGGCAATATAGCGAACTGTAGTCTGGTGGAACAAGGCTGTAAGGAAACTTAGTTTACTCCTACTCCAGTACAACTCCATTCTGGTCACGTTAACACTGATCCATTAATCTCCTTCTACTAAGCAGAGCTGAATACCTTAGCCCTGTTGTCATTGGCAAACTGGCCTGCACATAGGAAGCCACAAAGGTAAAGGCTAGAAAGAGCACACATTGCCTATGTTCCAGTTTTCTGCAAACAAGCTCTGTGTGCCGTACCCACATGGTTTCCTCTGCCACTTAGGATCATCCCAGGGTGCATGTACACACGATGGAGTAAGAGAAATGGAATCTTTTCCCTTTATGTATCTAGGACTAAGTAAAGATCAGGAGATCCAAATAGCTCTCATCACCTAAAAGAATGAATGCAGACTACTCAGTAAAATCCCTTTTATATGAACCCTACCAGTGTGCACCATGATGTAGTATCCTCTCTCTTGTGAACTCATAGCAGTTATTGGCTCTTCTAAGTATCTGACACAGAACAAGGTAGTCACTCTCTTTATGACTTTGTGGTTCTTTTTTTTTTTTACAATCTATGATTTTTTTATTGAAATATTTTATCTGAAGGTACACAAAAATTAATCAATTGCTTTCACCATGTGACTGTGACATATCAACTCTACTGCCTCCCAACAGTCAATAAGTACTTTTATAAGATTACGGTAATTAAAGTCATCAGGAAAAGACAGTATCAAGTAAGACTTTCTCAGCACTTATGACGAATCCATCATAAATAAATACCAATCTTAAAAACCACATTCGAGAGTAAGTGCAGTTAAACCAAGTACAGACAAGAAAGTTCAAGAAGCTCACTGGCTATGCTATACCAAATGGATGAAAAGTAAAACCGACTTTATACTACAGGTCTACATAAATAAATAAACGAACCCTATCATTTCTTTCTGTAGTATGCTTAGATTTCTTGTACCAATCACAGAATGCTCCGCATCAACAGGATAAGCTCCTTAGAAAAAGATTAAAAAGGTTTGATAATCAACTCCCAAATTTTAGGCTCTGTTTTTCTACTTCTATCTGTTTCTTGGCATATTTAGTGTAAGCAAGAAAATCTTATCAGTAAATCAAGCACTTGGGAGTCAGAAAGATCTTGCAGAACTCTGGCAAGTTACATATATCCCATGTTGCTTTTGGTTTCCCATCTCTTCTTTGCTTCAAATCCCCACGCAAGTTTCTTCTTTTTTCGAACAACCTGTGAATTTTCAGCCTCCTTTTTGGCTTTTACAAAGTTGTGGCAGGCGATAGCTTTGGCAATTTTAACACCAAGCTCGCGAGTAGCCAGGTGGTTGCTGAATTCCTCCGCCTTCTCGATATTCCACTCTTCCACAGCTTGGTCTATGCTCTTTTCAAGACTTGACTTGTCAATTTTTTTCTTTTTTACAGGGGGGTCAAACCTATCATTGACTCCAAAATACTGAGTAAGCTCCTTCCACTGGGTTTCATTTGAGGATTGTTCACTACAAGATGTCTCTTCATTCTTCAATTTACCTTTCCTGGAGCGTTTTCTTTTTTTCCTCCTGAATCCTGAGGTTGAGGTTTTCTGTTCAGAATGTTTTTTATGCAATTCTTGAAATTTATTCCACATATGTAAGGAAATTCCAGAAGGGAACTCTTCATATGCATTTACATTTGCCTCTGTTTCAGTTTTTGGTCCATCTGTCGGGAAATCTGAGATTTCTGTGTTTCTAGTCATATGATCTTCTTTAGCTTCCTGGAAGTGAAGTCTGGAGTTTTCTGATGCGGCTTCATCTTCAGAATTCAACTCAACATCACTTTCGTTGAGTCCAGGAGGCAGCAGCCCACTCCACATATTTTCTTTTTTGGTGAAGCAATATTCTTCACCTCATGTTCATCAGAGGCTCTGATTAGTAGTTATAGCCCGATCGGGAAGCCGTCGCCCGGCCGCCATCTTAAGGCTCACGACTTTGGGTTATTTTTAATTGCTATTTATATTTTGAATATATATTCAACTTTTGCATTGTTATCTAATTTGTTATGTATTTATACTTTATATCCTACAACAAAGTATATGGACTTTATGTCAGAGACTGCTTTATGTATGTTTGTTCCTCCTCACTGCTCATATAATTAATGAATCTACCTGATACTGAGTCTAGATATCATGTGAAATTCTAAAATCGGTAAAATTTGTCTTTGGCGTTCTTTCATCTTGCTGTTGAGAGCCAATGTTTCTTCGCATAACTGTTTCCAACCCAGTCCTGGTTGTCAAGGTTCTACTACCAGTTCAGAACTGCAAGCTGTTTAGAAAACAATTCTGAATGCCATCATAGCTTCTTTCTTACCAAAAGTCATTAGCAGCTACTTATTTATTTATTCATCCATCCATCCCTACATTCATGTATCCATTCATGCATCCATCCATCTATCCACTAATTATTAAGTGCCTGCTCCTATGTGCTAGGCTAGTGCCTATATGCTGGAGATTCAGTGGTGAATAAGAAAGAGAGTAATTACTACCCTAATGGGCTTATGCAGCCCTGGTGGTGAAGTGGTTAAGAGTTTGGCTGCTAACCAAAAGGTCGGCAGTTCAATGCATCAGCTGCTCCTTGGAAACTATATGGGGCAGTTCTACTATGTCCTATAGGGTTGCTATGAGTCAGAATCGACTTGATGGTAATGGGTTTGGTTCGGTTTTTTATTGGGCTTATGGAGCCCTGGTAGTGAAATGGTTAAGAGCTCATCTCCTAACCAAAAGTCGGCAGTTTAAATCCACCAGCTGCTCCTTGGAAACCCTATGGGGCAGTTCTACTCTGACCTATAGGGTTGCTATGAGTCAAAATCGACTCGATGGCAATGGGCTTGGAAGGGGCTTATCCATTACTCATTGGTCATTTTGTCGTACCGTGGTGGTTTGTGTTGCTGTGATGCTGGAAGCTATGCCACCAGTATTTCTTATACCAGCAGGGTCACCCATGGTAGACAGGTTTCAGCAGAGCTTCCAGACTAAGATACACTAACTAGGAAAAGGACCTACTTCTGAAAAAATTGGTCAGCGAAAACCTTATGAATAGAAGCACAAAATTGTCTGATATACTGCTGGAAGATGAGCCCCTCTGGTTGGAAGGTACTCAAAATACAGCTGGGGAAGAACTGCCTCCTCAAAGTAGAGTCAGCGTTAATGGATGGAGAAAAGCTTGCGGAACCTTCATTTGCTGAGGTGGCATGACTCAAAATGAGAAGAAACTGCTGCAACCATCCATTAATAATTGGAACGTAGAATGTATGAAGTATGAATCTAGGAAAATGGAAGTCGTCAAAAATGAAATGGAATGCATAAACGTTGATATCCTAGGCATTAGTGAGCTGAAATGGACTGGTATTGGCCATTTTGATTTGGATAATCGTATGGTCTACTATGATGGGAATGACAAATTGAAGAGGAATGATGTCATCAAAAAGAGCATTTCAAGATCTACCTTGAAGTACAATGCTACCAGTAACAGGATAATATCCATACTCCTACAAGGAAGACCAGTTAATACGACTACCATTCAAATTTATGCACAAACCACTGAGGCTAAAGATGAAGAAATTGAAGGTTTTTACCAACTTCTGCAGTCTGAAATTGATCAAACATGCAATCAAAATGCTATGATAATTACTGGTGATAGGAATGCAAAAGTTGGGGAAAAAGGAGGATAAGCAACTGGTAAATATGGCCTTGGTGATAGATATGACGCCAGAGATCACATGGTAGAATTTTGCAAGTTCAACAACTTATTCATTGCAAATATCTTTTTTCAACAACATAAATGGTAATTATACACGTGGACTTTGTCAGATGGAATACACAAGAATCAAATCGTCTACATCTGTGGAAAGAGATAATATGGAAACGCTCAATATCATCAGTCAGAACAAGGCCAGGGGCCGAGTGCAGAACAGATCATCAATTGCTCATATGCAAGTTCAAGTTGAAACTGAAGAAAATTTGAGCAAGTCCCCAAGAGCCAAAATACAACCTTGAGTATATCCCACCTGAATTTAGAGACCATCACAAGAATAGATTTGATGCATTGAACACTAATGACTTAAGACAAGTTGTGGAATGACATCATAGACATCATACACAAAGAAAGCAAAAGGTCATTAAAAAGACAGGAAAGAAAGAAAAAACTAAAATGGATGTCAGAAGAGACTCTGAAACTTGCTCTTGAATGTACAGTAGCTAAAGTGAACAGAAGATATGATGAAGTAAAAGAGCTGAACAGAAGATTTCAAAGGACAGCTGAAGAAGACAAAGTAAAGTATTATGACATGTGCAAAGACCTGGAGTTAGAAACCCAAAAGGGAAGAACATGCTCGATATTTCTCAAGCTGAAAACACTGGAGAAAAAATTCAAGCCTCGAGTTGCAATATTGAAGGATTCTATGGGAAAAATATTGAATGACGAAGGAAACATCAAAAGAAGACAGAAGAATGCAAAGTCACTGTACCAAAAAGAATTAGTCAATGTTCAACCATTTCAGGAGGTATCATATGATCAAGAACCGATGGTACTGAAGGAAGAAGTCCAAGCTGTACTGAAGGGAATAGTGAAAAACAAGGCTCCAGGAACTGATGGAATACCAATTGAGACAGTTCAACAAATGGATGCAGCACTGGAGGTGCTCCCTCATCTATGCCAAGAAATTTGCAAGACAGTTACCTGGCCAGCTGACTAGAGGAGATCCATATTTGTGTCCATTCCAAAGAAATGTGATTCAACCAAATGTGGAAATTATTGAACAATATCAATACTATCACACAAAAGTAAAATTTTTCTGAAGATCATTCGAAAATGGTTACAGCACTACATTGACAGAAAACTGCCAGAAATTCAAGCTGGATTCAGAAGAGGATGTGGAACAATGGATATCATTGCTGATGTCAGATGGATCCTGGCTGAAAGCAGATAATACCAGAAAGATGTGTACCTGTGTTTTATTGACTATGCAAAGGCATTCGACTATGTGAATCATAACAAATTATGGATAAAGTTGTGAATAATAGTAACTCCAGAACACTTAATTGTGCTCGTGAGGAACCTGTACGTAGACTAACAGGGAGTCGTTTGAACTGAACAAGGGGATACTGCATGGTTTAAAGTCAGGAAAGGTGTGCGTCAGGATTATATCCTTTCACCATACTTATTCAACCTGTACGCTGAACAAATAATCTGAGAGGCTGGACTATATGAAGAAGAATGCAGCATCAGAATTGGAGGAAACTCATTAACAAACTGCATTACGCAGATGACGCAACCTTGCTTGCTGAAAGTGAAGAGGACTTGAAGCACTTACTGATGAAGATCAAAGACTACAGTTTTCAGTATGTATAGTAACTCAACATAAAGTAAACAAAATCCCCACAACTGGACCAATAAGCAACATTAGAATAAAAGGAGAAAAAATTGAAGGTGTCAAGGATTTCATTTTAACTTGGATCCACAATCAACACCTATGGTAGCAGCTGTGAAAAAATCAAACGACGTATCGCACTGGGCAAATCTGCTGGAAAAGACCTCCTTAAAGTGTTATAAAGCAAAGATGTTGCTTTGGTGACTAAGGTGAGCCTGACCCAAGCCATATTATTTTCAGTCATCTCATATGCATGCGAAAGCTGGACAATGAATACGGAAGACCGAAGAAGAATTGACAAAATTGAATTACGTAGTTGGCAAAGAATATTGAATATACTGTGGACTGACAGAAGAATGAACAAATCTGTCTTGGAAGAAGTATAGTCCGTATGCTCCTTAGAAGCAAGGATGGTGAGACTTTGTCTTATGTAATTTGGATATGTTATCAGGAGGGACCAAAGAAAGACATCATGCTTGGTAAAGTAGAGGGTCATCGAAAAAGAGGAAGACCTTGAATGAGATGGATTGACACAATGGCTGCGACAATGAGTTCAAACATAACAATGATTGTCTGATGGCACAGGAATGAGCAGTGCTTCATTCTGTTGTACATAGGGTTGCTGCGGGTTGGAACCGGCTCTATGGCACCTAACAACAGTGGGCTTATGTTCTAGTGAAAGAGGCTGACACTGAACATGCAAAATATTGACTAGAAAAGGCCATTCCAAGTGGAATGAGCATCATGAACAAAATAAGGGGATAGGTAAGAGACTGAGAAATGGAGAAAGTTTCTCCAAAGAGACGACATTTAAGCTGAGACACAAGTGACAAGATGTGCCAAATAATGATCTGTGGCCAAATTGTCACCTAAATCTCAGAATTTTGAGGAAAAGAAAAAAATGCAGGTATAGCTAGAGTGTAGTTGATGAAATATTGTTTTATAAGAAATGAATTTGTCTAAGCTGGCAGGAATCAAAATGTGTGGACCTAGCAGAAGATAGTAGGGAATTTTTATAATAAGGTCCAGAGAGGACCATAGAGAAGTTTAAGCAAGGGGACGAGATTGAATTTATGGCTTTAAAAGATATTTCTGGTTACTGTTGCCATGGAATCATTTTTTCAAAATCATATTACAAGAACTAATGGGTGAGTAGAAAATTCATGTTATTTGAATTGTCTGTAAAGCCAGATTTGCTAACATAATCTTTTTCAAAAAGTCAGAGAGTCTTATAAAAACGACAACAACAAAACATTTAGCAAGTTCACAGTAGCCTGTATTCCAGATAATGACGAGTTTGTAACTTTTGAAGTTTGCTGTTTGACTTGGAGCAAGTTACAAACTCTCTGGGCCTTAAAAATGAGGACGTTTGAATGAGATGATTTCTAAGATCTCTTTTAGCTCTAATATTTTATGACCATGAAATTAGTGCCTTAGAAACTTATTAAAATCTAAGAAGCCATAAAGTATCCCTTCTTTTCAGTCTTGTGAGTGAAACCAATCACAGA